ATGGCTTGTTTTACTTTTCTTTTTCTTTACGTTTTCTTAGATTTTTTTCTTTCTTTTTCTCTTTCTGTTCCTGATCCATTTTCATTTCTTTTTTTTTTTTCAAGATCTTTTTCGTTACTTTCAACAGCACCGTCTTTTTCTTTTTCAACTATATTTCTTTTCTTTTTCAACTATATTTCTTTTCTTTTTCAACTATATTTCTTTTCTTTTTCAACTATATTTCGTGTTGTTTTTTTTTTTACTTTTTGTTTTTCATTTTCTTTTTCTTTCTTTAAAATTACTTTCCCTTCGTTTACTTTTTTGGGTGGGGGGGATTTTCATTCTATCTATTTAACATCTTGTAATGTTTTTTAGATTCTTTCTTTCTTTAATTTTTTAATATCGCTTAAGAACGTGAGCGATCATTCCTCTCCACAGCTTCCTATCACGTGTAACTCTAAACAACGTTTAAGTTTACGATCTCTGCCCTAGGTCTGCAATGCCTTTACACATTTGTTTGCTATTTTCCAATCTTATTTCACCATCTCCTGTGAGTGTTAAATTCACTAAGCCCTCTTTTCTTATTACGTGTTCTAGAACTTTCATCTCTCTCTTTCTGATTTTGAAAATGTGTTTCCGTTAAGTCCCCATTTTCCTTAAAACTTCCTCATTATTTACATGTTCAGTCTATGTTAGTCTGAGCATTTCTCGGTCCTCGGTAGAACCTCTACTCTATCCCTTCGAGTCTTTTTTCTAATCTGTGACACAAGTGCTCAGCATTCACTGCCATATACACCCTTGTGCAAATTAATTGAAACAAAACAAATAATTCCGTTATTATTTACTTTTTTCGTATTTTCCAATGAAACATGACCCAGTGCACATGCCAGTGCTTTGTATGTCCATTCCAAGCATTCGTTGCTTGCAGATTGACCACAGATTCTCGAGTGGGTTTAAATCAGGAAAATATTCCCGGCCAGTCTATAGTATTTTGATTTGCTCACTGTTAAGGCTTGCCTGTGTGTTCGTGCAGCGATTTGTTTCTGTTTCTTTGTTCGCCACTGTTGCTTCGATCTATTTCTTCTCAGCTTGATCCTTCTTCAGTAAGGACTGTCGACAATATACCGGCGAGCTTTTTCTCTTGAGCTAAGTACGCAGTCGCACATTGTCTACAAGCACTTCTTTTCCTTTATTTCTCTCTTTGGAGATTAAATATATTCAAATAGTACAGATTGCTTTTTTCTTCAGATGCTGTCGCCCCATTCGTTTAAGTGCACGTAACTCATTAGTAAACTTCTGTCAACTTTGTATCATTGTTTATTTATTTTGATGTAAACCCTTGTGTAAATTAATTGAAACAAAACGAATAATTCCGTTATTATTTACTTTTTTCGTATTTTTCTAATGAGACATGACCCAGTTCACATGTTACTACTTCGTATGTCTATTCCACGAAATCGTTCCTTGCAGATTGACCACATATTCTCGATTAGATGTAAATCAGGAGAGTTTCCGGGCCAGTCTATAGTACTTTGATTTACTCACTGGTAAGGCTTGCCATTGTATTCGTGCACCGTTACAATTTTCGTACGCTTCCTTGGAGTAACGTCCATCGCAGACAATGGCCATATAACAGCAATAGTGTCTGGGCGTGATAAAATTCTGATTCAATCGCGGATGACGCAATATTTTTAAGGTCAAACAAATTCCGTCATACACTTCGAAAATAGGTTCATATCACTGCACACCACTTCAAGTGACCTAATCGGAAGAAAAATAGAAATCGATTACACACTGTCACACCAGTGGGTCTAAAATTGACTGTGAGATTAAAGAAAGGAAAATAAAGCTTGTGTCTCAATTAATTTGCACAAGAGTATAGAAAAATAGACTTGACATAGCAGTTCAATAATCTGTTATTTGTTTATAAGGACTGTTTTCTGTCACTTAATACATTGCTTAGTTTCTGAAAGGCATCTTTCACTATTCCAATGCGTCATCGGATTTCTGCGTTACATTTCCTGCCATCTGTTAAAACACACCCAATTCCTGCACCTGTTTGATTTTGGACCCACCATTTCTTAACTCAAACCTTGGGCTATCTCAATTATTGACGACCAGACATTGTGTCTTCTTACAGTTCATAACTTGTCTCTTCTCGCTTTACGACATTTCTCTTTTCATTTACGGCATTTTACTGCTCCTTTACGACATTTCTCGCATTACAAAATTTTTCTTCTCACTTTACCATATTTTTCTTCTCATCTACGACATTTTAAGGGGAAATTCTTGCAGTTTCTTCCCGCGTCTGTCCTCAACAGTGTCATCTGCGTATCTTTTTCCTAGTTTCAGAAATACTACTTTGGTTTTTTCCTCTTTCCTTTTACCGTTTCTTTCCTTTTACTCTATCTTACATTTTGCTCTCTCTTTCATTTAATTGTTTCTTTTTTTACTGTTTCTTTTCTTTAACTGTTTCTTTTCTTTTACTGTCTCTCTCATTTTACTGTCTCGTTTATTTACCTGTTTCTTTTTAACTGCTTTTTCCTTTTACTGTTTCTTTTATTTTACTATCTCTCTTATTTTACCGTCTCTTTCTTTTTACCGTTTCTTTCATTTTACTGTCTTTCTCTTTTTACTGTCTCTTTTTATCCTTTCTTACCTTTTACTGTATCTTTCATTCTGACGTCTCATTTGTTTTACAGTTTCTTTCCTTTTACAATTTCTTTCATTTTTCTGTTTCTTTTTTTACTGTTTCTTTCCTTTTACCGTATATTTCATTTTACTGTCTCTTTCTTTTTACCATGTCTGTTCTTTTAATTTCTTTAGTTTTACGGTCTCTCTCATTTTACTGTATCTTTCTCTTTACCGTTTCTTTGCATTTTACAGTGTCTTACATTTTACAGTTTCTTTTTTTACTGTCTTTCCTTTTACCGTTACTTTCTTTTTACTGACTCATTCTTTTTACTGTTTCTTTCCTTATACAATATCTTTTATTTTTACTGTCTCTCAGATTTTACTGTATTTTTCTCTTTACCGTTTGTTTTCTTTTACTGTATCGGTCATTTTACTGAATCTTTCTTTTTATTATTTTCTTTCTTTTTCAGTTTCTTTTCTTTCTCTCTCTCTCTCTCTCTCTTTCTCTCTCTCTCTCTCTTATCTTGCTGTTTCTTTTTTCGGTGTCTTTCATTTTACTATCTTTCTCTTTTTTACTCTATCTTTCTTTTTAGTGTTTCTTCTTTTTACACTGATTTACATTTACAGTTTCTTTGTTTTTACTCTTTCCTTTTAACATTTCTTTATTTTTACTGAATCTTTTTTTACCATCTCTTTCATTTTACTGTTTCTTTCCTTTTACCATCTCTTTTATTTTACTGTTTCCCTCATTTTACTTTATCTTCCACTTTACCATTTCCTTTCCTTCCACTTTTTTCCTTCGTTACTTTCTACTGTTTATCCTTTCTTTTTTCTTTTCTTTTTTTTTCTTCATTCTTTCTGGGGATTTTTAAAAATGTTTTCCTTCTAGTTCAACATCATCTTAGTTTTCTCTTTCTTGCTTTCTCTTTCTTTTTCGTTTCTTCGTCGTTTCTTTCTTTGTCATCGTTCTTTTCTTTTTTCTTCGAATTTCTTTTACTCAATTTATATTCTTTCTTTTTTTTCAGTACAATTTCATTTTTTGTCAGAGTTTTTCATTTTTTTCTTTAATTGCTTTTTTTTCTCATTTTCCCTCCTGAGAAAGATAAAAAATATTTCCCTTTATTATTCATTTTTTCTTTCTGCCATTTTTCTCCGTTTTTATCTTTCTAATCGTTGGAAATCCTACCCGTATTTAGTATTGGCTGCCACAATCTTAACAAAATAAGATACGCAGATGACACAGTACTGATAGCAGACGCGGAAAAGAAATTACGGAGAGCGAGAAAAAGGACTAAACATAAAGTACAAGAAGATAAGTATAGTCATCGGTAAAAGGATGAGCCCAAAATTCGATTTGCAGGTCAGGGATATTAAAATCAATCAGGTGCAGAAGTTTAAATATCTGGAAAGCTTTTTAACAGAGGACGGTAAGTGCGACACTGAGATCCGTAGATGCATTAGGATGGCCAAGGACACATTCCAAAAGCTGGGTAGAGTATTGCGAGACAGGAGGATTTCTTTGGTAACAAAGTAAAGAATGCTGAGCTGCTACGTGATATCTGTCCTCCTTTACGGCAGTGAATGTTGGAAGGTCTCCTCAAAGATCAAGAAGAGACTCGAGGCGACAGAGATGTGGTTCTACAGAAAGATGCCTAGTATATCATGGACCGAGCGGATAAGCAATGATGAGGTCTTAGAGAGGATACAAACAAGGAGGAGGCTTATACTTAACATCGAGAGGAGGCAGCTGAAATTTCTCGGACACGTAATGAGAAAAGAGGGCCTGGAGAATCTGATACTCATAGGTCGAATAGAGGGAAAGAGAACATGGATAGAAGGAAAGCAACACATGACATACCTGGCGGGTTTAAGCAAGTGGATGACAGAACGTTGTCTGGAGGAGGTGGCAGAGGAACGAAACTTATTGAGAGCTACAAGGAATAGGGAGAAGTGGAGAGCCATGATCGCCTACGTCCTGAGAGGAAACGGCACATAGAAAGAATCGTTTATTCGTTCACTTTCTTTTAATCACCATATAGATCCTTCCCTGCAATTAGAATGCCTGATAATCAACTTCTAGAGAGCAACTCTCTGCGTCTGCTCGGTCTCACCTTGACTGCTGACCTGAGATGGAACAAATACATTGAGTCAATTGCTTCGTCCACCGCGAGAAAAGTTGGCTCTCTGTGCCGCGCCAGGAAATTTTTCTCCCCGGAATCGATCCTTCAAATCTACAAATCAACCATTCGACCTTGCATGGAGTATTGCTGCCATATATGGTCTGGTGCACCTTCTGTTTACCTCAGAGTTCTTGACAAGATCCACAGACTGGCATCTCGTCTACAGTCACTCTCTCGCAGACGCACCGTCGCCTCTCTCTGTCTTTTCTACAAATACTTTCATGGTTACTGCTCTGATGAGCTGCTTTCACTGGTTCCCAGACTTCATGAATTCAAGCACCCTACGAGGCTGGCAACCCGCTCCCACCCTTACACTGTAGAAACTTTTAAATATAGCCGTCTCTTCTACTCCAATAGCTTCATACCTCGCACCTCTCGACTGTGGAACACCCTTCCCAATTACTGTTTCCCTGAGAGCTATAATCTCCAACTATTCAAATGTAATGTCAATCGACATCTCCAGTTACCTTGATCTACCCACTATCCATCTCATCCTTTCTTCTATCACTCCTATCTGCTCTTGCTTCAAATCTTCTGCAACCCCCCTGCATCCAAGTGGCTTCACGCCTTGCTCGGGGCGTAATGCTTAAAAAAAAATTTAATACTTATTCACGGTTTTTCATCGTCCATTTTACACTTCTTATTTCTCATTTTGATTAATTTCTTCTCTTTCATTCTTTTATTTCCTTTCTTCTTTTTCTCGTTTTTTTTATTTTTTCATTTTTTTCATTGTTCTTTTTTCTTTTCTATCATCATTCATTTCATCTTTTCTTGCAGTTTCTTTCTTTCTTCATTTACTTCCTTTTTCTCTTTTTCTCATTTTTATTCTTCTTTTCTTTTTCATTCCTTCCTTTTATCCTTTTTAGCTTCATCACGTTTTATTCTATTCTTTGTTTTATTTCTCTTTTTTCTCACATTTTTCAACAATTTTCCCTTCTTTTCTTCTCATTTTTTTCTTTTTTGTTTTTTTTCTTTTCCCTTCTTCATTCATTTCATTTTTTTTTCCGTTTCTTCCTTTCTTCTTTTTCTCGTTTTTCATTTTTTCTCATTTTTTTTTTCATTTTTCTTTTTTTTTTCTCTCTCATTCATTCCTTTCATCTTATCTTTCTATATCTTTCTCTCTTCATTTATTCTTTTTTTCGTTTTTATTCTTCTTTTTTCTTTCATTCCTTCCTTTTATGCTTTTCAGTTTCATTACGTTTTATTCTATTCTTTGTTTTATTTTTCATTTCTTTCAACTCTTTTTCCTTCTTTTCTTCCCATTTTTAACTCTTTATTTTTTTTCTTGTTTCAATACTTTTCCCGTTTTCTTTTAAGTTCTTCGTTTCTAAATTTACTTTTGTTTTTTATCCTTTCTTAATTGTCTCATTTTTTAAAAAATCACCTTATTGTTATTTTCTTTCACATGTTTTAATCGATATTTTCCATTATTAAAAAATGCTAAAAACGTTTCATAAGACTTTAATTTCTTTACGTGTTCTTGCTTCTCCCCTCCCCTCTTCTCTTATTCTTACGTTTTGATTTCATGTTTTTATGCTTTCATGCCTTCCTTCCCGATTTCCTTCAGCTTCTTATACTTTCATTTTTTTTCTTGCATCTTTTTTCTTATATTCCAAATCTTCTGATGATATTTTTTACCTGTTCATTTGTTTTTCGCTTCTTAACTTTTTAACTAAGCATTATATCTTCTTGCTGCTTTCTTTATAAAATTTCCCGCCACTTTCCCGATGCTGTTTCCCGCCACTCTCCTTTGCTTAATATCACACACTTTTTAACCTTTCAACTATTCAATTCAAAACCTACATGAAAAAAAAAATAACAAAAGAAATTTATTTCCAAATATTTTCTAAAGTTTTCGTTATTTTAAGATTTGGTTTGGTTTGTTTCGTTTTACGGCATATCAACCTCAATGGGTCATTTAATGCTAACAACTTTTTTTTCTTGGTAATATTATTTTAAAAAATGTATTGCTGGTAATATTTTTTTTCAAAAACGTATTGCTGGTAAAAGTTTTTCTTTTTCAAAAATTTTATTTCTGGTAACAATTTTTTACAAAGTATTTCCGGTGTTAAAACCTAGTTGTACACTTTCATAATGTTTTTTACCTCAGTTTGGGGGTTAACTATTTGCCCATAGCTGGAACCCTAACTGGTGCTACCACCCTGGGTCAGGGTGGACCTGGGAACACCAGCAATTAAGAGGTGGTTCCACGCTCCTCAAAACCTCCTGATCAGAGGCCTTGCTGTTGGACGTAGTTTATCGTCTTACCCAGGACGCGGATGCAGTTTATCGTCATACCCAGGACAGGTTATTTTAAGCTTAAGATTTCTGTTAGGTTGTTTGGAATTTTTAGAACATGTTGCTACGTATTTTAACTTGCCTACTGTGTTCGAAGGCGCATCAAAATTTCAAAGGTGTTGCAGTTTTGGGGGATATTATGTACTAGTGAGCTAGCCCAAATGACTTGACTCACTTTATAGTCCACCATTAGAAGGTTAACCAATCAGAAGACGTAGAATATACAATCCGTCGTGTATAAAGGCGGCCATTTTGTTTACTCTATCCGAATGTCCAGTGCCAGCTTGTCAGGCGAAGAGGAACAGAAGGAAGAACTACGCTCTGCTACTTTACCGGGATATCCACTGCTAACCTGAACTACGCTTCCCTACTGTCTTCGAAATATTCACTGCTAACCTCTGGATTCTATACTCAAAGACGACCGTCATCATGAACAACAAAAGGCTCCTGTAATGATTTAAGCTAATATGGAATTGTGGAATTCTTTTGGTTTTCAATAGATTCTTGGCATCGTTGTAATTAGTTTACATCGACACCTTGGTTTGCATACATTCCATTTTTTTTTTCTTCCAGAATACTCAAGTCAAAATACTTTTAAATTTTTAAAGCGCTTCCATTTCTAGAAACTTCGAGTAAAAAGTAGAATTTTTCTGGTTATCAATATGACTGATCTGAATCATGGCCAGTTTTCCTTCTATTGTACTCTGTGACCCACTCCCATATGATGCCAGCATAGTGGGCTCGATCCTAACTCTGTTCCCCATACTTTCAGCCTTGTGCTGCATCTTTTTCACTTTTTAACTGAATCATTATCTTCTGTCTTCTTAATTCTTGTTCTTGTATTATTCCCTGTCCTTAATAGTATTTTATCATATTCTCTTGCATTCATTAGCCCCTTGTGTCTTAGAAGCTTTGTTGCCTTGCTTGAGGTAAGCTAGAATATAAAGTATATTAACAACTATACATCTATCTGGAATTTTGAATAGAGCTATCTAGAATCTAAATTATATCTATCTAGAATGTAGATATCTCGTATCTTCATTATAGTTATTTAGAATTTAGGATATTTTATAAAAATGTATAAAGATTTATATCGAATTTGTTTTTATAAACGTTTCTCCTCCATATGATGCCAGAATGTTGATTGTGATCCTCACGGAGTGTCCCATACATTTGGGTTTGTGCCACACCTAAGCTAGGCTTATGAAATTACCATTTGATGCCAGAATAGGCTCTAATGAATTCCTGGTCCCGTATCATTTTTAGATTTAACATTACATTTTTTGTTCAGGTCCTGGTTTCATCACTTACTGTCACCCAGTCTGTATGTGTGCGGCTCCATTGTCTCTCAAGCAAAATACAGACCTTACATTCTCGTCTGCGATCTACAGTGACACTGTCCACCTCCTCACTTAAAAATTAATTATTGATCGAGTTTATACTCTAGTTTATAGGTATCCATTGAAATACAGGCCTTACATTCTCGTCTGCTATCTACAGTGACACTTTCTACCGCCTCACTTTAAAGTTACGGTCTAGTTTATACTCGATTCTATATGTAAACGCTGAAATGCAGCCCTTACATTCTCGTCTGCTATCTACAGTGACACTCTCCACCT